TAGGGCCCTCCCATTGCTGCTGTCCCCATCGCCACCTCTGCCATGTCCCACTTTGGGTTTCAACACGCGTTGTGTTGAATTTTTTGAATGGGGTGCTATGGGTCCCTGTACGGCCTCCCATTGCCTGCTGTCTCCATCGCCACACTTCTGCCATGTGCCACTTTCAGGTCTCACTCACACTGCTGGTGTGTTCTCCATTTTTTGACATAGGGTGCTGGCAGATTTACGGGCCTCCCATAGCTGCTGCCAGGCCCCTAATCTGCCATGGGCCCCTATTATACCGCCTCCTCATGCTGCTGCCAGGTCCAGAGTCTCTCATGGGTCCCTGTACGGCCTCCATTGCTGCTGTCTCCATCGCCACACTCTGCCATGTGTGCCACTTTCAGGTCTCCTCACACACTGCTGGTGTGTTGATTTTTTGTCATAGGGTGCTGGCAGATTACGGGCCTCCCATAGCTGCTGCCAGGGCCCCTAATCTGCCATGGGCCCCTATATACGCCTCCTCAATGCTGCTGCAGGTTCAGGTCTTCATGGGTCCCATTTTTTGACATAGGGTGCTGGCAGTTTACGGGGCCTCCCATAGCTGCTGCCAGGCCCCTAATCTGCCATGGGCCCCTATATACCGCCTCCTCATGCTGCTGCCAGAGTCCAGAGTCTCTCATGGGTCCCTGTACGGGCCTCCCATTGCTGCTGTCTCCATCGCCACACTCTGCCATGTGCCACTTTCAGGTCTCCTCACACCACTGCTGTTGTGTTGAATTTTTTGACATAGGGTGCTGGCAGATTACGGGCCTCCCATAGCTGCTGCCAGGCCCCTAATCTGCCATGGGCCCTATATACCGCCTCCTCATGCTGCTGCCAGGTCCAGAGTCTCTCATGGGTCCCTGTACGGCCTCCCATTGCTGCTGTCTCCATCGCCACACTCTGCCATGTGCCACTTTCAGGTCTCCTCACACTGCTGGTGTGTTGAATTTTTTGACATAGGGTGTGGCAGATTACGGGCCTCCCATAGCTGCTGCCAGGCCCCTAATCTGCCATGGGCCCCTATATACCGCCTCCTCATGCTGCTGCCAGGTCCAGAGTCTCTCATGGGTCCCTGTACGGCCTCCCATTGCTGCTGTCTCCATCGCCACACTCTGCCATGTGCCACTTTCAGGTCTCCTCACACACTGCTGGTGTGTTGAATTTTTTGACATAGGGTGCTGGCAGATTACGGGCCTCCCATAGCTGCTGCCAGGCCCCTAATCTGCCATGGGCCCCTATATACCGCCTCCTCATGCTGCTGCCAGGTCCAGAGTCTCTCATGGGTCCCTGTACGGCCTCCCATTGCTGCTGTCTCCATCGCCACACTCTGCCATGTGCCACTTTCAGGTCTCCTTCACACTGCTGGTGTGTTGAATTTTTTGACATAGGGTGCTGGCAGATTACGGGCCTCCTATAGCTGCTGCCAGGCCCCTAATCTGCCATGGGCCCTATATACCGCCTCCTCATGCTGCTGCCAGGTCCAGAGTCTCTCATGGGTCCCTGTACGGCCTCCCATTGCTGCTGTCTCCATCGCCACACTCTGCCATGTGCCACTTTCAGGTCTCCTCACACTGCTGGTGTGTTGAATTTTTTGGACATAGGGTGCTGGCAGATTACGGGCCTCCTATAGCTGCTGCCAGGCCCCTAATCTGCCATGGGCCCCTATATACCGCCTCCTCATGCTGCTGCCAGGTCCAGAGTCTCTCATGGGTCCCTGTACGGCCTCCCATTGCTGCTGTCTCCATCGCCACACTCTGCCATGTGCCACTTTCAGGTCTCCTCACACTGCTGGTGTGTTGAATTTTTTGACATAGGGTGCTGGCAGATTACGGGGCCTCCCCATAGCTGCTGCCAGGCCCCTAATCTGCCATGGGCCCCTATATACCGCCTCCTCATGCTGCTGCCAGGTCCAGAGTCTCTCATGGGTCCCTGTACGGCCTCCCATTGCTGCTGTCTCCATCGCCACACTCTGCCATGTGCCACTTTCAGGTCTCCTCTCACACTGCTGGTGTGTTGAATTTTTTGACATAGGGTGCTGGCAGATTACGGGCCTCCCATTGCTGCTGCCAGGCCCCTAATCTGCCATGGGCCCCCGTATACCGCCTCCTCATGCTGCTGCCAGGTCCAGAGTCTCTCATGGGTCCCTGTACGGCCTCCCATTGCTGCTGTCTCCATCGCCACACTCTCCCATGTGCCACTTTCAGGTCTCCTCACACTGCTGCGTGTTGAATTTTTTGACATCAGGGTGCTGGCAGATTACGGGCCTCCTATGGGCTGCTGCCAGGTCAAATCGGCCATGGGCCCCCGTACCGCCTCACGCTGCTGCTGGTGCCCACAGTGTGACTCTGGGTCCCTGTACGGCCTCCCATTGCTGCCACTCTCGCCACACTCTGCCATGCCACTTTGAGGTCTCCTCACACTCTGGGTTGTCCATTTTGTGACATAGGTTGCTGGCAGATTACGGGCCTCCCATAGCTGCCGCCAGGCCCCATAATCTGCCATGGGCCCCTACCCGCCTGGTCACGCTGCTGCTGCTGAGGTCCCACAGTGTGACTCATGGGTCCCTGTACGGCCTCCCATTGCTTCCCATCGCCACACTCTGCCATGTGCCACTTTGAGGTCTCTCCTCACACTCTGCGGTTTTCCATTTTGTCATAGGTTGCTGGCAGATTAGCGGCCTTCCATAGGTGCCGCCAGGCCCCATATCGGCCATGGGCCCCCCGTACCTCCTGGTCACGCTGCTGCTGGTCCCACAGTGTGACATGGGTCCCTGTACGGCCTCCCATTGCTTCTCCACTCTGCCATGTGCCACTTTGAGGTCTCCTCACTCTGCGGTTTTGTTGAATTTGTCATAGGTTGCTGGCAGATTACGGCCTCCCATAGGTGCCGCCAGGCCCCATATCGGCCATGGGCCCCCGTACCGCCTGGTCACGCTGCTGCTGGTCCCACAGTGTGACCTGGGTCCCTGTACGGCCTCCCATTGCTTCCACTCTGCCATGTGCCACTTTGAGGTCTCCTCACACTCCTGCGGTTTTCCATTTTTGTCATAGGTTGCTGGCAGATTACGGCCTTCCATAGGTGCCGCCAGGCCCCATATCGGCCATGGGCCCCCGTACCTCCTGGTCACGCTCATGCTGCTGGTCCCACAGTGTGACCTGGGTCCCTGTACGGCCTCCCATTGCTTCCACTCTGCCATGTGCCACTTTGAGGTCTCCTTACACTCCTGCGGTTTTCCATTTTGTCATAGGTTGCTGGCAGATTACGGCCTTCCATAGGTGCCGCCAGGCCCCATATCGGCCATGGGCCCCCGTACCTCCTGGTCACGCTGCTGCTGGTCCCACAGTGTGACCTGGGTCCCTGTACGGCCTCCCATTGCTTCCACTCTGCCATGTGCCACTTTGAGGTCTCCTTACACTCCTGCGGTTTTCCATTTTGTCATAGGTTGCTGGCAGATTAGCGGCCTTCCATAGGTGCCGCCAGGCCCCCATATCGGCCATGGGCCCCCGTACCGCCTGGTCACGCTGCTGCTGGGTCCCACAGTGTGACCTGGGTCCCTGTACGGCCTCCCATTGCTGCTGCCAGGAGGCAGCAGGGTCGCAGCTGTGTCAGTGGAGGCAAACGGCCACGGAGTAGAGCAGCAGCTCCACTGCAGGTTACCACCACAGCCAGTATCGGCCATGCCGGTGTGCACGGAGGAAGTAGCAGTCAGCCAGTGAGGAGTAGCGGGTGCCCAAAGTTTCCTACTCGGGCCCCTAAGTTTTCGTCAAGCCACACTCCCGAGGAAGTAAACGTAGCCTAATGTCGACTATGTGGCCAGAAGTCAAGCGTGGCCCAGGGGGCCCCCATGTTGGGACTATGGCAGCGTACCGCCTGCGTCAGCATATGCTGCGTCGCCCTCCCATTGCTTCGGTGGCCTGTGAAAAACGTGATAAAGATACGGCGGTTCTGCCTGCCCCTGGCCAGGGTTCCATTTTGTCATAGGGTGCTGGCAGATTAGCGGCCTTCCATAGGTGCCGCCAGGCCCCCATCTATGGGCCCCTATATGGGCCCCCGTACCTCCTGGTCACGCTGCTGCTGGTCCCACAGTGTGACCTGGGTCCCTGTACGGCCTCCCATTGCTTCCACTCTGCCATGTGCCACTTTGAGGTCTCCTCACACTCCTGCGGTTTTCCATTTTGTCATAGGTTGCTGGCAGATTAGCGGCCTTCCATAGGTGCCGCCAGGCCCCATATCGGCCATGGGCCCCCGTACCGCCTGGTCACGCTGCTGCTGGTCCCACAGTGTGACCTGGGTCCCTGTACGGCCCATTGCTTCCACTCTGCCATGTGCCACTTTGAAATCTCCTCACACTCCTGCGGTTGTCCATTTTGTCATCATAGGTTGCTGGCAGATTACAGGCCTTCCATAGGTGCCGCCAGGCCCCAATATCGGCCATGGGCCCCCGTACCGCCTGGTCACGCTGCTGCTGGGCCCACAGTGTGACCTGGGTCCCTGTACGGCCTCCCATTGCTTCCACTCTGCCATGTGCCACTTTGAAATCTCCTCACACTCCTGCGGTTGTCCATTTTGTCATAGGTTGCTGGCAGATTACAGGCCTTCCATTGGTGCCGCCAGGCCCCATATCGGCCATGGGCCCCCGTACCGCCCTGTCACGCTGCTGCTGGCCCACAGTGTGACCTGGGTCCCTGTACGGTACCTCCCATCCCCATTGCTTCCACTCTGCCATGTGCCACTTTGAGGTCTCCTCACACTCCTGGTTTTCCATTTTTGTCATAGGTTGCTGGCAGATTAGCGGCCTTCCATAGTGCCGCCAGGCCCCATATCGGCCATGGGCCCCCGTACCTCCTGGTCACGCTGCTGCTGGTCCACAGTGTGACCTGGGTCCCTGTACGGCCTCCCATTGCTTCCACTGCTGCCATGTGCCACTTTGAGGTCTCCTCACACTCCTGCGGTTTTCCATTTTGTCATAGGTTGCTGGCAGATTAGCGGCCTTCCATAGGTGCCGCCAGGCCCCATATCGGCCATGGGCCCCCGTACCTCCTGGTCACGCTGCTGCTGCTGAGCCCACAGTGTGACCTGGGTCCCTGTACGGCCTCCCATTGCTTCCACTCTGCCATGTGCCACTTTGAAATCTCCTCACACTCCTGCGGTTGTCCATTTTGTCATAGGTTGCTGGCAGATTACAGGCCTTCCATAGGTGCCGCCAGGCCCCATATCGGCCATGGGCCCCCGTACCGCCTGGTCACGCTGCTGCTGGTCCCACAGTGTGACCTGGGTCCCTGTACGGCCTCCCATTGCTGCTTCCACTCTGCCATGTGCCACTTTGAAATCTCCTCACACTCCTGCGGTTGTCCATTTTTTGTCATAGGTTGCTGGCAGATTACAGGCCTTCCATTGGTGCCGCCAGGCCCCATATCGGCCATGGGCCCCCGTACCGCCTGGTCACGCTGCTGCTGAGCCCACAGTGTGACCTGGGTCCCTGTACGGCCTCCCATTGCTTCCACTCTGCCATGTGCCACTTTGAGGTCTCCTTACACTCCTGCGGTTTTCCATTTTGTCATAGGTTGCTGGCAGATTAGCGGCCTTCCATAGGTGCCGCCAGGCCCCATATCGGCCATGGGCCCCCGTACCTCCTGGTCACACTGCTGCTGCTGGCCCACAGTGTGACCTGGGTCCCTGTACGGCCTCCCATTGCTTCCACTCTGCCATGTGCCACTTTGAGGTCTCCTCACACTCCTGCGGTTTTCCATTTTTTGTCATAGGTTGCTGGCAGATTAGCGGCCTTCCATAGGTGCCGCCAGGCCCCATATCGGCCATGGGCCCCCGTACCTCCTGGTCACGCTGCTGCTGGTCCACAGTGTGACCTGGGTCCCTGTACGGCCTCCCATTGCTTCCACTCTGCCATGTGCCACTTTGAAATCTCCTCACACTCCTGCGGTTGTCCATTTTGTCATAGGTTGCTGGCAGATTACAGGCCTTCCATTGGTGCCGCCAGGCCCCATATCGGCCATGGGCCCCCGTACCTCCTGGTCACGCTGCTGCTGGTCCCACAGTGTGACCTGGGTCCCTGTACGGCCTCCCATTGCTTCCACTCTGCCATGTGCCACTTTGAAATCTCCTTACACTCCTGCGGTTGTCCATTTTGTCATAGGTTGCTGGCAGATTACAGGCCTTCCATTGGTGCCGCCAGGCCCCATATCGGCCATGGGCCCCCCGTACCGCCTGGTCACGCTGCTGCTGGGCCACAGTGTGACCTGGGTCCCTGTACGGGCCTCCCATTGCTGCTGCCAGGAGGCAGCAGGGTCGCAGCTGTGTCAGTGGAGGCAAACGGCCACGGAGTAGAGCAGCAGCTCCACTGCAGCCTACCACCACAGCCAGTAGTGGTGCCGGTGTGCACGGAGGAAGTAGCAGTCAGCCAGTGAGGAGTAGCGGGTGCAAAGTTTCCTACTCGGCGGTGTGGCAAGTTTTCGTCAAGCCGCCCGAGGAAGTAAACGTAGCCTAATGTCGACTATGTGGCCAGAAAGTCAAGCGTGGCCAGGGGGCCCATGTTGGGACTACAGCGTTGCGTCAGCATATGCAGCGTCGCCATTCGGTGGCCTGTGAAAAACGTGATAAAGATACGGCGGTTCTGCCTGCCCCAGCCAGGGTTCCATTTTGTCATAGGGTGCTGGCAGATTAGCGGCCTTCCATAGGTTACGCCAGGCCCCATATCGGCCATGGGCCCCCGTACCTCCTGGTCACGCTGCTGCTGGTCCCACAGTGTGACCTGGGTCCCTGTACGGCCTCCCATTGCTTCCACTCTGCCATGTGCCACTTTGAGGTCTCCTTACACTCCTGCGGTTTTCCATTTTGTCATAGGTTGCTGGCAGATTAGCGGCCTTCCATAGGTGCCGCCAGGCCCCATATCGGCCATGGGCCCCCGTACCGCCTGGTCACGCTGCTGCTGAGCCCACAGTGTGACCTGGGTCCCTGTACGGCCTCCCATTGCTTCCACTCTGCCATGTGCCACTTTGAAATCTCCTCACACTCCTGCGGTTGTCCATTTTGTCATAGGTTGCTGGCAGATTACAGGCCTCCCATAGGTGCCGCCAGGCCCCAAATCGGCCATGGGCCCCCGTACCGCCTGGTCACGCTGCTGCTGCTGGGCCCACAGTGTGACCTGGGTCCCTGTACGGCCTCCCATTGCTTGCACTCTGCCATGTGCCACTTTGAAATCTCCTCACACTCCTGCGGTTTTCCATTTTGTCATAGGTTGCAGGCAGATACAGGCCTTCCATAGGTGCCACCAGGCCCCAAATCGGCCATGGGCCCCCCCGTACCGCCTGGTCACGCTGCTGCTGCTGGGCCCACAGTGTGACCTGGGTCCCTGTACCGCCTCCCATTGCTCCCACTCTGCCATGTGCCACTTTCAGGTCTCCTCACACTCCTGCTGGGTTCCATTTTGTCATAGGTTGCTGTATGGCCTCCCATTGCTGCTGCCTCCACCGCCACACTGTGGCTCCAAACACTGGTTTTGGCCCCGTGACTGGCCAAATGAGTGAAGTGTGTGCGGTGATTCTAAGATCGACGGCACTCATCTGCATGTCATACTGACTGACAGTATTATTTCTCTTCCCCAGCAGACTCCAAGGGCATTTAAATTAAAGGTACAGTGTTCTGCACTAATATTAAGTCTCTCTGAAGCCTAGAAACACCCTTTTTTTAAGTTAAATTCACAGCGAATTTATTCAACTCGAATCTAATATTGTCCACGAATTCGCCGAATCAGTCGAATCGAATTTTTTCATTTCTTCGCTCATCTCTAGTGATAATTATCAACAGGATAATATGTAGTTTAATACACTCATTAATAGAAATCTCAAACTAGTCCTTTAGATGTAGTAATTTCTATTTTTCCCCTGGTAAGGCTGCATGGAACAGTTCCTTCTAGTCTTAGGGTCACAGCACTCACTGAGTACATTATATATCTATGGAGAAGCAGTGTTGACACCCTGGCATAGTGTGTTGGGACTACAGAACACCTCCTCCTCTCCAAAAACATTAGGGGAGGTGTCCTGTAGTTCATAGAGATAGTTAGGAACAATGTAACTTAAAGCAGTATTAAACCTAAAACCTTAGTGTGTTATAGTACAGCTTAGCATTCCTTCGATGTGTCGGCTGCATCAGTTCTCTTTTCTTTGGCACTTTTTCCCCTCTGCTTTCACCTGGTGATCTGGCCAGTAACACACCTCCTATGTTAGTGAGACACAATTCTGGAGGAATGAGCACAGAGGCACAACAGACAGCAGCATTGTCAGTCTGGGGGAGGGAGTGCTAAATACACCAGCAGATTTAAATACAATACCAAATAAAAGCCAAACTCCAGCTTACACTTTATAATCAGTTACAGAAACATTTTTATTTCCTTTTGGGATACATGTTTTGCAAGAAAAAGTTGATTATTTTATTCAGCCCCGCCAGGGTTAAATGGCTTTTCTTATCCATGTAAAGGGATATATTCTGCTGGAGAGCTTGAGCTTCTGAAAACCAACAGACTTACTGTCTGGATCACCAGATGGAAATAGAAAGAAACTAATACAGCCATCCCACCTAAGAATTGGCAAGCTGCAATGTAATACAATTTTTTGCTTTTGGGTTTTAATACCACTTAAAAGCAGTACAGCAGAGGAGGACAGCACAGGGAATTTAACAGAACAAAAGGAACCAAAAATGCGAGAAGTTCATTGTTGGGGTTTACATACATTTACAAGTATAATAGACAAACAAATTAAACTGAGTTAATATGTTTTTTTTAATAGTTGAATCACGGATGACAGAGCCAGGAAGATCAAACACAATACAACAACAAATTACAAATATTTTGGTAAACAGAAACAATTGAGTAATGTCCGTGATAGTACTGCTTGGACCTTGACGAAGGGGACACTCCCCAAAAGCTTGTCCTCAAAATTGTATGTTAGTGCAAATAAAAAAAGTATCACGGAGAGTACTCAATTGTTTCTGTCGCATATGCACTAATACAGCTCCAATCACCTCAAGCAATATTTTGGTAGAAACACAATACATTCAACACAATGCAACGTCAAACGTTCTCTACTTAAGTGAACATATGCTGGTCGTCGAAAAATGACATCAAATGGTGATGCCATATTGAGCGTCCATCATCTGTCAGAAAGGAAAAACACATAAATTTATAAATTAATCGTAAAAAAAGAGGGGAAAAAACACAAAATGTAAATCAGTTATATAAAAAATATATTAAAGGAGTAATAAAGGCTGTTAGTTTTTTTTTCTAAAATAAAAAACATGTTTGAATAATGCCTGGTATACACGATCAGAAAATTGGATAAAAGAAAACACTTTCAGAGCGATCGTCTGATAATCTGATCCCCTGGACATACTTGTTTAGAATCTTAGGCAAATGGGGTTTTGGACCTGCTTTTTTGGGGGGTACTTCAGGTCTTGAAATTTGTCTGCAAGCTCAGGTACAGCTACAAGGCCATTGTTCTCTCGACCGATTTCTATTGTTCGGGGTACGAGACAGGGGTGTCCCCCTCCCCTTTGATTTTTTGCCATCGCAATAGAGACCATGGCTGTCCGGACCGATGCTGACATAAAGGGGCTGCATTATGGGTCGCAAAGGAGCATAGGTTTGCCTTGTTCACAGACAACCTTCTCCTCTTTGTAACCTCCCCATTCCCCCCCATGGAATGTTTTAGGCTTTTCCAGATTTCCCACTTTTTATGATCCTTTTTATGGTCAGAGGGGCAGGAACAATATAGGATCACTCGGTACGGGAAATGGTGTAAGCAGGATGGTCAGCGGAGGGTATATCGCTCATTTATTGGTTGCTTCTAAGATCGGGGATGGATACACTACTAATTAATTAATATTGAGCAATATAAAATGACACACAGAACAAATACCTCTATTACACGTGTTTCTCGCAGGCTTCCATAGTAAGAAAATTATTTTCATTTCCTTGACAACCACCATAGGTGAATATCTCGCATGTGCCCGAAAACCTATTATAATAATAGCGCAGGAAAGCCCCATGACATGGACCAACTTCTGGAGACAAAGCACAGACTTCACCACCTGGCCCCACTCTTCTGAAAATGAAATATCAATGGAAAATGAAATAATGGGTGATAAACATGATTGTAGAAACCTCACAGAAAAAAAGGTTATCAGCGATGGATACACCACTAATGAATCAATATTGAACCACATAAAATGATGCATTGAACAAATACCTGTTTGGCACTTCTTCTTCTCGCAGGCTTCCTTAGTTTCAAAATTAATTTGCATTTCCTAAACAACCACCATAGGTGAAGATCTGGCAAGTGCCGGTCCGCTTATCATAGTAAAAGTGCTCCATAGCCGCCTTACATGGACCGACGTCTGGAGGCCAGTAACACACATTACCTGAAAAAAAAATACTTCTGATTATAAAATAGCAATGGAACATTAGATAAACAGGTACTAAAAACATGACTGTTGAAACCTTACAGAAAAAAAAGGTAATCCAGGATGGATACACCACTAAAGAATCAATACTGAGCAACATAAAATGATGCACAGAATAAATACCTCTATTACATTTGTGCTCGCATTCGAGACTTCTATAGTATAAAAATTGTTTGCATTTCCTCCACAACCACCATAGATGAATTTATCACAAATGTCCATATCCTTATTATAGTAATAGCGCGGCATAGCCGCAAAACATCGACCGACTTCTTTAGGCAAGGCACAGATTGTAGGATGCATCACAACTAAATATGAAATAGAAATGGAAAAAGAAACAATGGGTGATAAAAAAGACTTACAAAAGCTACAGAAAAAAGGTTCATCAGGGTTAGATATACCGTTAGAGAAGGCCGGAGCTCATACCTCCCAACCCCCTGATATCCATCAGTCTGTCCTGTAATATCAATCACATTTTATAAGCAAACTATTATTCATTACTGATAGCGATATCTTGTTCCAGGTCAGGCATTCAAAGAAAGGCCAGCATGTCTCTCAGAGCTTACAGTAGACAGAAACT